GTGTGTGTGTGTGTGTGTGTGTGTGTGTGTGTGTGTGTGTGTGTGTGTGTGTGTGTGTGTTGTGTTGAAAGCGCTCATATTGGGGATAATTACGGAAAATGACAGCATGAAGCGCTGCAGCTTGTGCGTTGCATTGTATGCGCCTTTCAGGCAGTGGGCGTGGCAGAGGTAGGGGCAGAGGGTGGGTACGAGGAGGCGAGCAGGGGCGCGACGGATTCTACAGAGGTCAGAAGACGTCCAGCGTTGTAACATCGGGCTTCAATTTTAGAGGCGGCAGAGGGGCTTTCAGAGGGGCTTCTCAAGGCGGTCTGGAGACGCGCAAGATCTCCCCACTCACGGGATCTGCATTCATGGTAAGTCGACGACTGACCACAACACGAGGGGCCCGAAACCACTGCTTATGCATGTTTAGTGCATCCATTGATGCATGACATAATTGCCACATCGCTGTGGCAGCTAAAAATGCAGCGAGAGACGTTCGTTGGAGAGACATGATAAGGAGTCAGACAATGATGTTGAAACGTAGCGATTGCACACGAGGGCCTCCATGCGTCGCCGTGTAGCCCTATGTTTTCCGGCTTCTTTTGTTTGTCTTCAGGATTAAGTATTTGAATTTGTTCGCCGGAGGAAGCCTGGGGGATGACCACCCCGAAAATAGCAGTTTCAGCAACGGCAGCCGTCGCTCCCGTTCTAGTTAACAGCTGGGGCCGCAGCGGCGGATGCTGCGACACCATCAAAGCTGCAACAGACCGAAAAGTGGCCATCGTGCTTGCGCGGTCGACGCAGCTGGGATGTAACTTGGTTGTCTTTAAAAGTTTAGTGCATGCGGAGTTCGGGTCCTTGCGCCGGCTGATAATTACTTCGATAATTAATTCGAAACGTCCTGTAGGTTAGCAGGACAGGAAGTGGATTGAGTCAGGGGGAAAGATAGAAGCGCTTAAAGGGAAAGATATAGACAGCACTAGTAGCCTGAGTCTGTGGTTTATCTGGGGCTCATCACGCCGGCACAAACATTGAAGCATCTCCAAGAATGATAGAACAACCGTCCGATGCTGTTTACGTAGGATAGATAAGTGTGTGGACTTGTATTTGAGTGTACACCAGCACGCTGCAACCTGCGGAAGTAGAATGCTTGTCACCGCCCACTTACCCTCTTGTCCACAACTGGAGGGAAGGGCCAGAGGGTCGGAATGAAAGTTGGCTTGGAACAGGAGTACTACACGGACGCGGACCACACAAGGGGGGTGGGAATGCACCGAATTTCAGCCTCAGCTTCTCGCTGTGGCCAGCTACGACGAAAGACGCTGCTGCTACTTCACGCTGAAAGCTTCTATCAGCGAGACATCGGTAAGAGAGATTGGCTACAAATTAAATGAGTCTCACGAAAACATTGTATACAGAACAGGTCATGACTTGAAACGAAAAAAAGTGACAGTTTTCGGGGGGGAGTGGGGGTGCAGCAGTAGCGGCGAAGTCCCGAACATTTGCCCAGTCTACGGCACGTGCAAAGTTTTCTCAAGACGTCAGGAGTAACAACGGCATCTGAAGTGGCATCACGCTTCCGGTTTAATGCCAAACGTAGGCTCCTGTTTCCGTCTCGTCCGGTGCGTAAATTGCATCGGTGCTGCACTGCGTGAGCACTTGGTTGTTCGCACGCTTCACGTCGCCCCGATCTACTGCTGCAGCGGCTGCGGCAACAGCTGCGCTTGTTCCCTCGACGGTAGGTTCAGCTTCGGTGATTGGCTGGATCGGACCACTTCCGGTAGTAGCTGCAGCAACAGCAGCAGCGGCTGCGCCTCTTAGTGGTTTGAAAGGCCACTTAAGCAAACCATAAGTATCCCTCAGAAACTCCAACTGCTGCGGCTCGTAAGGGAACCGCGGCACATCTTGTTGCAGCACAGAAGGAAAATGAGGAACTGGCACGCCGTCCTTTGATGAGTCACACATCCCTCCTTTTCCCTTCGGATCTATTCGCTGCATCAGCCAACGAAGTTCCCCATCCTCGCGCAGAAGATCCTGAACCACCGAACGAACCACGGAACTGCAGCTATGTCACAACAATGTTTCATACACTATCGCAGACACCAAGGCTTACACTGCTATGGACACCGGTAGTTCACAGGTTACTGCTGCTGCTATCGATGCTGCTTGCGTTTCCTCCACTATGGAGGCTGGCGTACTTTGACCTCTGGCAATTGATACAGTTCTGGCGGGACAACGTAAGCACTTGCGGGTGGCCGTGCTGGATCCTGCTCCACCAGAAGCTCAGCCCACAGCAGTAGAAGTCGAGGAGTGCCTGAGGCTTTGCGCAGCACACAGCACTCCGCCGTTCTTAGGCGACCAAATCGCTGCAACAACAAATCCTGAAGGTGCAGGCGGGTTGAGAGAACCACCATATCGCGGTGCGCCGCAGACTTGAACTTGTAGGTTGTTGTAGTCGGTGCTTCAACTGCTGCTACTGCTGCTGCCGCCGCAAAATGGCGACGGGGAACCGCCGCATGACAGTGGAAGCTGTTGCACGGTACCGTGCAGATGGAAGGACCTTCATTTAATGTTTGTCGCTGTTCCAAATACGACGAAGCCACGGCATTCAATGCTGTACGGTAGAGTTGCTCCCGCGATGGTGTCCAAAGGGCATGTGTGTTTCGACGACCCTTCAACCCTTGCACGCTCCTCTGTCTAAGAGCGCAAAGAGGGAGCACCATGGCCAGTGAGGCTTGAAGCTTTCCGTCAGTCCTACGATGACGCGCCGACTCTATCCAGCATGAGCGAACCTATAGTGAGCCTCGGATGCGATATAGCAGGAATAACAATGCACAAAGTCACGGTGTATGAATGATTTCATCTACAACGGTCATTAGACGCGAACGCATCCTCCTGGCGATGCTCATGGCGCAACGGTATATTGGATGGCGTTGCGTGGGACTGCATGCATGAGGTCGGGACAAACTTCAGCATTAGGTCGACAGCCCTTTGTTCTTTTGGGAAATCTCATTTGGCTTTTGCAGATCGACAGATAGCTGACAGGGGTTGTGTGTACCTACTGCAGCAGCAGGAGTCCCTGCGTATGTGCGTCACTCAGCTATGTGGGTTTTCCCAAGACTTCTTTTTGTAAAGAAGTCAGCTAGTTGAAGAAGCAGGTTACAGAGGGTTGTTTGTGCACCTGAAAGATGCTCTGTATACTTTAAAGTGGATCCCCCGATGCGAAAAGGCCTTCGCGCCACAGACGATGGGCAGTTTGGTTTTGCGGAAATTTGAGTGGTAGTTTAACTAAGCCCACTGTAGAAAGGGCCGTGGGCTCCTTTTGGCATTTTTGCAAATGTTCTGCATGATAACTAATCCCTAGTTTTTTTTCGCAACAGTATCAATACTATCTCTGGACTGCGGGCACTGCTCCTCGTAGAACCTTACATTCTGAAGCTCCAGTTTAGCTAATAAGAGTAGCTTGAGACTCTTCTTTTTGTATTTTTGTCACATTTGGATAGCAGGGTCTACAGTTAGTCAATTCTCAGTAGTAGTTGACCCGCTTCCACCTCACATTTTGGACAAGGCGTACAAGGATAGGGTTATCTTCCGTCTAGTGACTCCAGTACCCCTTAGCATTCTGGCGAGTGGATCCTTATTCTTTTTCCCGACAGCGTATTTTTTTTTAACTGTCTCATAGCCTTTCTATGGTTGCTCTCGGACTCTGTTTAAGAGCTCTTCTGCGCCCAGGAGTGCCGTGCCCAGAAAAAGTAAAAGGGCTGGGAGTAGGGCACCTTGTATGCTACTACAGCATTGAGATCAGCCATTAGACCCCCAAATTAATGCTTGCCTCCCAAAAACTCCAGTGCATGAAATTTCTTGCTTGCTTTTCACCGCCATAGTATCTAGTTCTCTGTACGGATTATTATTCTCGGGACCTCAAAATCTGTACCTTCTTGGATGCGTTCTTGTACATGATACTAATAGTCCTTGGGCCAAATAAAGTCTTTTTCTGCTGAGCTTCTTTGCAGCTGACTGGTGGATGAGGTGTACATACAACGATTCATAGTATCGCACGCCCGCGGGCAATCGAAGAGCCACAGGCTATCAGGAATCGCATGCCCGATGAACAGCACAAAAAATAGCGCGTTCTCGTCTACAGAGATCTCTAGTTATTAAAAGTCGGATTGAGAAGTTGGAAAGTGGAAATAAGCAAGGTAGGGAAGCAGTTCCCACTCAGCTGGAGGGCCGAAAGGGCGTGCACCGGTTCTTGAATAATGCCTGTGCCTCCGTCGTGACTGGGATATTTAATCTTTAACGCAGGAAAACCGAGTACACTTCTCAGTTTTGCGTCTGCATAATAAGCGGTTGGTAATAAATGTCTCGCTCACCCCGTATTCCCATCCGATACAGCTATGCAGCTATCGCGTACCGCTGTCTTTTCATGCTTGGGCTGTAGTTCTCTGAAAGTTTAGCATAAATGGACCGCTGGTCAATAGACGTTAGGCCTGAACCTCTGTAACTGAAGGGGTTGCCACGTCTTTACAGCTAGCCTCTTGTTGGAAATAGATAATTAGACTTTGCTGCTGTGCCTATTCACTATTCTGGGGCCCCAAAAAATTTTTTTTTTCGTAGCTTCCAGGATACTACAAGCTTGGAAACTTGCCAGCTGGTAGGACACGCGTCACCTACTTGTTGCTGAATATCTTCATTTGACTATGGGGCCCCGGCACAAAATAAATCGGGGAAATGAGCTCACCAAATTAACAGGAAAGCAATGCGCTTCAATTTCTGGTTCTCCTTTTAAAAGACCTTCAGCCTCACAAATTCCGGTGGAGTGACGCTCGTGCTCTCCTTTATGGCACTGCTCTGGACAGCAGTAGTTACCAGATATGGCACCTAAGCATTGCTCAACTTGTACAGTCGTTCACATCCTGGACAAAATTTGTTGAACTTCTCTTTTCTGTGTGGAAGTCAAGCCGCTGCAGCGTGCAAGAAAACTCAGAGTAATTTTCTATTCGCAACTATCCGCTTAGCTTGTCTCAACAACCCTCAGTGAACGTTTGTGCTGTCCCTATTTAAAAGGCCGCCCCTATCTTTCGTTCATCTGTCCATATCTGCATCGGTAAAGCAAGGACGTGTGAACAGCCTCCAAATGCTGCGACCACAAATTGAAACTAAAGCGTACACAACTTCTTGTGGTGCGTTTGTTATGGTGGATGAAAGTATGTGCTTGGGTTATCGGTCGCCGCGGAAGTTGAGTGTTCTACCACAGGTCCCTGGTCCATGTTCTCTGTTGTTTCGTAGGCTCCAACGGTAGCCCTCTTGCAATCATTCGCACTTACCTACTGTACCTACTGATGAGTGACTCTCCGCTGCACTTTGTAAAGAGACTTCAACGTCTCCTCAATTTTTCAATAGAATGGCTTCATCCTGTTTATTGCGGAAGAGCCATTTGGCAAAAAATGTTCACTTTTTGGCTGTCGAATCGAAATTTCCAACAGCTATACTGGTGGCAGACTCAAGGTACGCTTCAGGGTGTCATAATGGGCCAACAAACCGATATTTTGAGATTCTTGATGCGTCGCTGGCATTAACCAGACGGCATCCCTATTTAAATTTCAATTCACAAGATGGGGTTGTAGGCAGTGTGCAGAAGTATAGAGTTTTCAATGCCTCTCCTCATCATCTGCGAAAGGCAAGGGCCACTGAAATTCAACCGCACCTGCAGTAATCCTAGCCTCTGCACCAGTACACATTCCTGTCCCTCCTCTCTACAAATACGTCCCGAAGACTTTCTGAGCTGGGGTTGCTTCGTTGAAGTAAATACTGGCTGCACGCACTGAGGCAGCGGCATTTGCTACGGCTCGTACTGGCCTCCTTTTGCTGCCCTTCTCTCCTCTAGGGCAGGTTTCAAATTGCTTGTTGGGCTGTTATTGCACTTTTGTGGTGGAAAGGCCGAGGTCGCCGAACCAGTATCAACAGTAGCACCCCTGCTGCTGCGGCTCAATAAATTATCTTGTAGCTCTCCCCAGCAATTTATAGCGTCGAAAGCTTTTTTATATTTTTAACAGATCCGGCTGGCCTGTTATTGCTGCTGCAAGCTGTTCTTGCGGGGCCCCCTTGGGTCAACTTGGGGGGCCCCATTCCTGAGCCTGCGAAGAATGTGTACCGCTAGTTGCAACAGCGACCTTTACAGCAGTGCTATCCTAAAATTCTATCGAGAATACGCTTTCTTTATAAAGTGAGAAATCTAGCAGCCTCAGAAAGTTGGTACCTGCTGCATGAGCTGCCGCGGATTCCTGCGTATTTGATTAGGAGTAACGCGATCGTTCGTTATTGTGGCGCCTCGGCAACCACACACAAACAGTAACAGCCTGTTACGAGAATACTTCAATATGCCTGCCGAAGGAGCGGGCAGCTGAAGGGGTTCTCGCACAGCATTCACTGCACTTTCGCGTCAGCGCCGCTACGCCTCAAAGCAATAACGTCGGCCCCAACAGAAACTCAAAAAGTATCGAGGCGATAGATATGGTGTAACTTAAGCTCTGCATGCTGACCACGTCTGGGTTAAACTCATTCTTGCTGTAGCTCTAGCAACAGCAGCAGCAGCAGTCACACGAGGGCAATGGACAGTTGTACAAGGGCCACATTCTCCTGGCCGCCTCACTATGCAGGCGCAGATGCTGTCCTTTAGCCTCTGCTTTTACAGTTGCGAAGCAAATGAGGCATTTGTGTGATGTTTATTCGACGAGGAGCTCCCCAGCAGGGGGCTCACTAGGTGGCTGCGTGCCCACGGAAACTATCTTCAAGGGCCTGGGCTGCGTCCGCCGCTTTTCCCCCTTTATGGATTTGCCCGTATATGCCAGGCCTCAGCTGATAGGGGTTTTTATAGATGAGGAAGAAGCAGCCGAAGCAGCATTTGCTGCCGCTTCTCCGGTGTCTTCAGCAGCGGCTACAGCCGCTGCACTCGCGCGGGCCGTGATAGGTAGAATACTGCAGCATTGGGGCCCTCGAGGATGGGGAGACCCAAGATCGAGGCGAAAATCGATGCTACCAGGATCTGGAGGCATAGTGGTTTGCAGCAGCAGACTGCTGCTCCGCTGCAGTGTGCTTACAGGCGTGTGCAGCAGCATCAAACCGCTGCCCGCAGCAGCTTGCTGTTGCTGCTTTGCCTCAAAGACATCCAAGGGACCGCTGTTAGTGGTTGGATGCGTAGATGGGACCCTTCGAGTTTACTCGGGGAAAACACTGCAGCTGCTTGTAACACTAGATTCAATGGCTGCTGCTGTTTCTACTGCTACTGGTGGAGGTGCAGTTGCTGGTGCATCAAGGCAACGGACTCTACATAGCGGATACTCCGCTAGATCAGTGGCAGAAAAGCGCGAAGTAGAAAGTCGAGAGGCAACGAGACCAGCTCTAGGCAAAGCACCAGCTGGGACTCCTCAGGAAGGAGTGGAAATTGAGCTTCAGCAGACGCCAACGTGTGTGTTGCTTGTGGGTAACAACGCTGTGCTTGCTGGACTCGGAGGAGGCCTCACAGTTGCTTTCTTTCTTGAGAATTGCCGTCGTGCTGCTGTCTATCAGCCCCCAGCATCCATCCTAAATTTCCTGCAGGAGCAGGAGCAACAGAAGCAACACCAGTTTTCCCTGCACTCAGCAGACGTGGCGGCACTGCAGCAGTTGCAGCTGGATTATTGCAGAGAGCTTGCCGCTCGCAAGTGGCGCGGAGAGACTGAGATGCCGCAGCTCCAGCGAAGCAGAGACAGTGACAGCAGCAGTGGTATAAGCTGCTTGCTGCACGAATGCCAGACGCAGCTTCCAGTTTGCTGCCTCTACGCCGCAGCAGCAGAGCGACTTGTGGTTGTAGCTGTGCACCCGGAGGCTTGGACGAACACGCAGCTGCTGGACAGAAACAATCACAGCCGGAACAGTAGGAATAGTAGTGCACTGCAACGACGCTGGCGAAGCTCGGCACAGGCTGCCTACCTGAGAGCACCTCCTCCAGTAGTTGCTGCTGCTGCTGAGAATTGGAGCTCTTGTTGCATTGATAATTCGGTCGCAGGTGGCTTGGCCGGTGTACGCGGAACAGGCGGAACTGCATCAGTCCCCACAGCAGCCAAGACTTCTGATGCTGCTCCTTCTTTCCCGCTGCTAGTTTACCAACAGCAGACAGGTACATGCGTGGGGGCGCTGTGGGGAGCTAGCTCTCGAACGCTTGCTGTCGCGCTGGGGAACCTTCCTGTTCAATCGAAAAAGCTGCAGAGGCAACAAGAATACATGTGTTGTCTTGCAGTTACTACAACACACGTCCTTTTTTGGCAGCAACAGTGGTGCCCTTGCAGCGGGCGAAAACTGCAGCAGCGTCCCTACCCTCAACGGCCATCCTCTGCTTTACCGCAGCAACATCAGAATAACGGGGTATCGTCCCTGTCTTCCTCTGGAGCCGATGGAGCCAGAATGACAGCAATGGCGGCAGCAGTAGAGCAGTTGAAGCAGCAACAGCGGCTTCACGAGAAGAGGAGAGGAGACGCCACCGTCTGCCCTTCTTTCCTTTGCGGGTCTAAAACATCGATGTGCCAGCTCGCTACTGCAGCGGCAGCTGTATCAGAGCTGGTAGCTGCAACAAGACAGACAGAAAGCCCAGAGCATGCTTCAGCAGTAGGCCTCCAAACATCCGCTGGAGAATCACTTCAGGCAGCGGAAGGAGGATGTGTCGGTGACATGTGGTTATCCCTCTCTTCCATTTTCTGCCTTCCCGACATCTTGATGGAGCCGCTGCAAAAGCAGCAGCAGCAGCAGCAGCAACAGCATCAGCAGGATTATGCGTACACGCTGGCTGACGCAGTTGTTGACTGGGGTTCTCGACTGATTGTGCTGCTACCTTCCTCGAGCAGCCGTTGCTGTTTGCTATCATGGAGCTTGGAGGAGGATGGATTCATGCTGTTGCCCCTTCGCTGGGTGCAGGTGATTACTCGTAATGCGCTTGCTTCTCCTCCGTTTGTAATTCCTAACTTCTCTGCTCTTCTAGCAGCTGCTTTCGCAGAGTATTTCCTAATGCTGATATGTGTGCAGGTTGCGGCAACGGACAGGAGCCTTCAAAAACCCATCCTACATCGTCTTTGGTAGGCAGCTGCACAGTGTTATTTTCACTGCAACTGATGCTGCTGCTGCGCTTGTGCTTTGTGTTGCGACTCTCTGTGGTGTTCGGTCCGTCGTTGTCACTTGCTGTGGAGCCCCTGCCTGTGTGCCAGCGGCGCTACTGCGTTGTGCGCCGCTACTGGGGCGGTAAATAGAGCTGCCGCTGCTTCCGTCTCAAACACAGCTCTTGCGATGGGCGGCATTGCTGCTGCAGTTGTTGCTTACGGCCTGTTCTTGCGGTATTCAGGTATAGCAGAGGACTGCTGGCTACGTCCGCAGCAGACGGGTTTGTCCGTTTCCTGTTCCGTCCCGATCTCAGCACACAACAGCGAGAAGAGACGACTGTACAAGACCACAGCTAAGGGGGACAGTTATCTTCGGTGGCGATATGGCAGCGCTTTGTGTCCTTTTGGCTACAGCGGGTTACCCAAATAACTAACTGCTTGGTTCGGTGTTCTGCGGCTCACCTCTGACTCTTGGCAGTGAGTGCCAGCGTAATATATTGGCTGAGCTGGTGCTGCTTCCACCTCCTAGCATGTCACTTGCAATAAGGCACGCTGCTGCTTCTGTACTGAATTGAAGCAACTGATGTGAAGAGAAATACACAGTGGACAACTCGGCCGCGGCAGGGGCTTTCAGCAAAGCCGTGAGCTGCTGTTGCTTGCGCATTCCTGCTGTATCGCTGCTTGCATCGCTGCTTGCATCGCTGCTTGCATCGCTGCTTTTTCACCAGCTGCGCTGTGGCCAATGTCTGCGCAAGCATAGCCCTTCGCGGACGGTTGTTAGTTTCGGTTGTTAGTTTGATTTTGGAGCGCCAATAGGCCGCATTGTGTTGCTTGTCGGCCCTTTCATTTGAAGTGGGGAGACGCTTCGTACTTGTCCGCTCCACAGCAGTCAATTTAAAACATTATAGTTTGCATGCTTGTTGCTTATTAAGGGAATTGGTCAATTGCTAGACTCGTGCGTGTACTTGCCCACACACGGAGGCAAAGGCTTGAGGTGATACAAAAGTGGCACCCCGGACCAAAACCAAATGATAAACAAGGGACGCCAACGAAACAAAAAAAATTCCCCGTAACCAGGGGAGGGTGATTGAGGCAGCTCATGGCCTCACACTCTCTCTGAGAAGTCATACACGAATGCGGACACCAGCAAACGATGGCAGACCAACATATGCTGCTTGTACAAACCGGGATTATGCCCCGACATGCAGAAATAGTGCAGGTTAATAGCGAAGACATATGACCGCGCCAGCATCCAATGAAGACGAAGACAATGAAGGACTTTGGTTAAAAAAAACAGGATGTAAAGGGCCCATCAATGGTCACTGAAGTCTTCGTCGGACTCTGCCGTTGGCTCGGAGGTCTCAACATCTCGCGCCCAATCTGAGTCTCGGGGGTCTTCCCCCTTTCGCACCCCGAATCGCCTGCGTTTTCTTCGTCGCAACGTCGGGGGAGATCCAGGCTGCTGCTGCTGCTGATGCCGCTGTTGTAGCTGCAAGCGTTTCCTGCGCCGTGCACCTCGATGGAGGTGCGCCATTGGAAGGTCTCGGCTGTCTGCGCAGATTATTAACTCATTGTCGCAGCAAACGGCTGCATCGACCATTTCTCTAATGAGGCTGGCAGGTGTATCTTCACTTCCTGCTGCTGTTTCCCCTACGCTTGCAGCTGTTGCTGCGAGGTCCTGTTGCGTGGCAATTCTGGCCCACAGACTGCCTAAAGTAGAGACCGCGCGCCGCTGCAGTGCAGCACCAGCAGCAAACAAGCGCAAGGCTGGCTTGTCCTCTGGGTTCACTAGCAGCGGCGCGCCGCTGCACTTGCTACGGCTGAGGGAGATAGAACTTCTCTTTCGTGCTGCTGTTGCTACTGATTGCTGAGGCGCCGCAGCCAGTGATTCTCTGGAGTCACAGTCAGGCATGCCGCCGCCACGGGGATGTGGGTTTCTGCTGCTGCTTCTGCTGCTGCTGCTATTTCGGGGTGCTGGCTGGCGCAGTAGCCCTCGACCGCGTTTCTGCTGCTGCTGCTGCTGTTGCTGCCCTTGTTTGGGGCCTGCCACAGCGCATTCCTCGCTCTCAAAAGTCCCCTCATCCTGGTCAACAGGAGCTACAGATGTTGCTTCTGCAGCATCATTGTCAGCTTCGGGCGTGTCGCTCACGTGGAAACCCTGCAGCAAAGCTGATCTTAGCTGCGATGCGAAGCATCCACAAAAAGCGGCAGTTAGAGCAGCAACTTGCTGCTGCTGCTGCTGCTGCCTCTGCTGCTGCTGCTGCTGTGCTGTGTGCAGCATGGCTTCGACGGCGGCGCCGCAGTCAACCACCACACCCCGTAGAGCTGCAGCTGCGTCTGCCGCTTCGGAGGGTCTGTGGACGATTGACAACAGGACATCCGATACAAGTCTGAGGTGCAGTAGTGCAGCAAATGCAGCAGGCAGCAGCGGCAGTAGTGCTGAGGGGGTCTGCTGCAGCCACGGTTCGATCGCAGGATCTGCTGCAACCACGCCAAGGGAAGGCGGCAAGCTGCCTGCCCAAGCGGCGAGACGGGCATTTGGTCCTGCCGCGGTTTCTGCCGCATCTGCTGGTGCTGCAGCTCCTACAGGTATTCCTGCGCAGGGGAGACGCGAAGCAAGACTGGCAAGAGCCTCGACGCTACTGAATCGCCGTAGTTGCGCCACGAGGCTCAACTGGACATCCGACGGGGAGACCTGCGCGCCGGGAACAACAAAAGCAAGTATCTTTAAGTCGAAAATTAGTTTTAAATAGTTCTGTACCAGTAGAGCGACAAGATAGAACAACGCAGACACAGTGATTTCGAAAGCTATCCGCAGCACAAGCATACCCTAGCACTGCCCTTTGCACTGCGCGTAAACAAAATGACGAAGGCAGAAATGGCAGCAGGATCCACCACACAGAATGGCGAAAGTAGCAGCCCAGCAACTGGTGCTGCACTCTCTTCGCGCAGCTGCAGGAGGTTCGGGCTGCTGCTGCCTTTGCCACTGAGCCTGTAAACACTTTCAGTTGCTGCGGACTCTGTTGCACCGCGGTGTATGCACAGCAGCAGCGACATATCAAGGCATTCCTGTAGCCGCCCTGCAGCAAAGGCAGCACCAGCGCCTCCCACAGCTTCCTGTAGCAGCAAAGAGGCAGCACGCGCAACAGTTCTGCTGCTGCAGAAAAGCAGCGCAGCAGCTTGAGGCAGCAACTCGCTGTAGTAAACCAGACCAAGCCTGACAGCCGCAAAAAGGATGACACAGACGAAAACAGACGCAAATAACCCATTCTGCAGGAGCTCCATGTGGCTGTGCCTCGTAAAAGCAGTTGGACCACGGAGCAAGCTGCCTAGTCACATTAAAGACAGCTGGCGGTGTTTCTGCTTGTATTGCTGCACCACCGTGGCAGCGTACTGTTGCAGTGCCCTAGTGAGCAGGAGAATGAGGGTAGCGGTGCTGCAGCTCAAATTTGGCCACTGCCTCTGCTGTTGTGGCTGCTGCTGCGGCTGCCTGGGGACAAGTAGGTCCATCAGCGGTCTCACATAAGGCGCCAGGGCATGCAAATAGTCACAAACACTGGGTTGTGCTGTTCTTGCTGGTCCTGTTGATGGTGCGTTGGCATTTATCGAAGCGCGTTCGCAACCATTCCAAATCCCCTGACGAGCGTTTGCCGCTAGTGCTGCAGCCGCCGCTGTTGCTGCTGCGGTTGCTGTGGGCGAGCCCGCCGCAGAGGCAGGGTGGGCAGAGCAAGTAGGTATGTGCTGCTGCTCTTGCTTCTGCGTCTGATGCTGCGCCTGCGATTTCCCGCGTGTGCCTGACCGACGCGTCGAGAGGCTTACGCTCTGTCGATTTTTGCCCTCTACCTTTGCTGCTGCTGCTGCCGTGGCCAAGCCTGGAGATGCGGCATCTTGCTGCAGTTCTTTGACCAGCCCGTACAGAGCTTGAAGAGCAGCAGGCAAGTCAAGAGCTTGCGCGTTCCCTACCCCCTCAGCTTGCTGCTGCCGTTGCTGTTGCTGCCGCTGGTCTGAACATTGCCAATTCATTTTATTTGCTGCTGCTGCTGCTGTTGCTGCACTGAGGCGGGCGCCCAAACGTGGACTGCTGAGGAAGGATGGGGCTGCACGCAAGAAGCAGCAAAGGGACCGCCACGCCACAGCGGTCATGCCCCCGTGTTGCTGTAGCAGCAGCAATGCATCGCATAGCAGATGAAACACCGAATGCTGCAAAGAAAATCCACTGTCTCGTGAGGCCGCTTCTGCTGCTGCTGCCGCGGATTTGCTGTCTGCTGCGTGAGCAGCAACGCGCTGCATTAGCGAAGCAACGGGAACGTCGCGCAAGAGCGAAGAAGCGCATGCTAGCCCTCCTGAAGAGCAAACGAAGAAACAAAAATCAGAGCCAGCATCTTCTCAGCAACTAGGAAGAAGGCCCACGGTATATAAACACGTTGGGCATCAACGGGGACTTCGTAGGTGGTAGACGCGATAGCCGAATCGACAATAGACCTTCTTACCATATGCTGAGGATGAAGGGATACAGCCTGACACCTTATTCGCTTCACTTGTTGCAGCATCAGCAAAACTGTAGGACCCAGTAGCAGCTTGCTTTTCAAACGTTCCTATCCCCAGGCCGGCAGAAAGACAAGCCACAGCCCAAGATGCGAATTGCAGGGCTTGTAGCATTGGTACGACGGCCTCGTCTTCCTGCTGCCCTTCTTCTGAAGGGGGGAGATGCGTTTCGCGTTGCGGTTCCTTTCGTTTCAGCTGGTAAATGCGATCCTTAATAGAATAAATGAGGGCCAGGCTGACAGCGAGTAGGTCAAGAAGACTATCTCGAACCCCTTCCTGCTGCAATTGCTGCGACACTCGGCACAGTAGCATTGTTCCTGCTTGCAACAATAGTGGGTCTGTTTCCAGGAGAAGTAGCACAGCTGGAACGCACAGGAGCAATTCTTGCTGCACGTGATAAGGGGCTGCTCGGATGTGGTTGGCTGCAGCTGCTAGCAGCTCGATTTCCCCCAGCAAGGATCTGCAGCTGCTGCTGCTGCTGCCTTGTTGCAACAATGCCGTGTGGTCACGGAGCAATACTGCAACATGAGGGACAAACAGTAGTAAACCACGTGGACAAAAATGCCCTAGTTCCTGAGCTAGCTGCAACAAGCATAGCCCTGCAACCGTAGGGTCAAGAAGGAAGTCATCTTGCTGCTGCTGCCGTTGGCTATGCTGAGTCAAAAGGCGGGCTGTGTCCTGCTGTTGCGGGGATACGCCACAGCAGCAGCTGAGGTACTCTGTGAGGCACGCGTCTAACAGCGTCGCTGCAAGCTCCTCCAGTGTTTGTTGTTGTTGCTGCTGCTGCTGCAGTTGCTGCTGCATTCTCGGGAGCAGCAGAGGCACCAGAGAAACCTCCATGTGCTCTCGCGCAGCAGCAACAAAACTCGCCAGCATGCGTATTGCCCTCCGCATGTTTAGGGAGCTGCATGTGCTCGCCGATCCGCGTGCAACTGCTGCAGCAGCAAGGGGAGACCCGCCACAGCACTGAAGTGCTCGCTCACTTCGTGGCGTCTGTGTTGCTGTTTCATGAGCTGCTGCATTTTCCTCTCCCGCCGAAGCGGCAGCAGCAGCATGAGGCTTGGAAGTAAGGAACCGCACGACTTCAGAAGCAAGTGCACCAGTAACAAAAGACTTTGTAGGGGCGTGGTCTGGCGCAGCTGCAAGCGCCTCAATTAATAGGGAGCGGCAGCAGCGCGCTGTTTCACCGAGTGGTGAAGCAGCAGCGCAACCCCGCGCCACGCGCAGCGCCTGCTGTCTCACCGAAGGTGCTGTCTCCTGCAGCACCACGTACCGAAGAAACCGCAGTAATCCTCCAATCTCCTCAAGCCACGGAGACATTGTAACTCGAGCCTGCTGATCCTGCTGCTCACCACCGAGCATTTGTTGGCTGCTGCGGTGCAATGCTGCTGCAGCTGTGGTTTCCCGCTGTTGCTGTTGCAATGCCGTGTCGAGAAGGGCTAATGCGCGCTCTCGTACACCAGGAGACGAGTCTGCCAGCGCCTGAGGCAAAAGCAAGGGGATGCGGCTGCTGCTGGTGCTAGCGGAGACTTGCAGCAAAGACGGCCGCCATGTGGCACACGCATGCAGAACAGAAAGCGCCGCCCTCCTGCACCTCAAAAAACGCAAACACCGAGCAGATATGGAAACTGGGAAGCGACGAAACGCGCAAAGAAGCAGTGAACGGTAGGCGCAGCAGCAGATATACACACTTCGTACCTTACAGAAGAGCGAGGATCCCCTGCAGCAACCTGAACTGCATGGAGCAGCAAGTCCCCAATCTGTTGCAAAGCCGACAGAGCGAGCCACCGCCAAACAGATGCAACCAGCTGCTCTTGCTGCTGCTGGAGCGTGTTGTTGGGGTCGACTCCTGCAGCAGCAGCATTAGCTCCGAAGGGCAGAAGCAAACCCACATCTCCCGCCGCCGCTGCCTCCCATTCTATATCTATTATGAGGTGCAGCATACTGCTGCTGCTGTTTGGGCCGGCGCCTTTGCAGCCGCCTTCCTTGAAACTCGCGTCCTCTTCTTCAATGCGTTTCTTGCTGGTGTTGGTACTTCTGCCAATGATTAGCAGCAAGAGGCAAGCCATTGCTGCTTTCGAGTGCTGCAGAAGCAAACGCCTATGAGAAAGCCGCATGATGCGGGTTGCGGCGCTCGCAGCAGCGGCAGAAACAGCTGCAGCAGCAGCAACCGGAGTTAGCTCTTGGCCGCTTTTTTTTGACGTGCACTGCGTTGCAACTGAAGCCACCCTATAACTGCTGCTGCTGCTGTTGCTGCAGCCATTCGCAAGCATGAGCAGAAGACAAAGAAATGTGAGCGGCTCATCTAGCACACACAGGAGCATTGAGCTATCGGCTATGCCCTCCGCCGCTGCTGCCGCTGCTGCCGCTGCTGCTGGGGTAGTCCCTGTGCCACTTGCAGGCATACCCGCAACAACTGAAAGCCATGCAGCGGGGCGGAGTCTGCCTATTGCCTCTTGTAGAGATGCGGCAACGGCCCGCCGCAACTCGCAGCCCATGCATATCCAGTGCTCGGTTGCCCCTGCCGCTGCTGCCTTGCCTGTGGCTGCTTCTCCATGTGATTTCCGCAAGCCACAGTCGCAGCAGCTCTCGATGTGCTGCTGTGCTTCCTTTGCTGTTTCAGCTTTACTGAGGCTCCTGCTTTGATCCAAAGAGGCCGTGCGTGTGCCCACCGATTGCTGCTTTTCCTTGGACTTAGCGCCTGTCAAGCGTCGACGAGTCGCCGCTCTTGCTGTTTCAGCATTTGAGTTCAGGCACGCATTTTCGGGCAAATGGCAGTGTTGCTGTTGCTCCTGTAGTCGGGAGATGGACGGGACTGGCAGGCGCTCAGCAAAGACAGCAGGTGCTAAAGCCGACAGAAGAGACAATAGTGCCGTTTGCTGCTGCTGCTGAAGTTGCGTGTTGTCAGCTTCAGCATTCGGACGCAGCAGCCGTGTAAGCAGCGTATAGCCCACGGCGCGCAGCAGGAGCAGGGAAGCAGGAACGGAAGGAGACAGTGTCAGCTGCAGCAGCGACAATGGCAAATACACACGTCGGGCCACTGGTGCCGCTGGTTTGATCTTTACCGTGTTCCTTTCTTATATGTGGCTTCTTTATGGAACCGGCATCGTTCTGCAGAAGCAGCTGACCAGAGACGTACCAGGGCAAGGTCAGCAATCAGGCGCCGCACAGAACGAAGACACCCGGCAGATGGACGCGACAAAGGCAGCAGCAACTGCTGTTGCTGCTGCAGCTGCTGGATTTTAGGTGACGCCTCCTCTCCTACTGCGATGGTAATTAGACGGCGGGCGACGTGTCTTGCTGCTGCCGCTGCAGCTTCTGCTGCTCCTTCTGCTGCAGCTTTCGGCAGTTTTTGTGGCTTCTCGTGCATCGGCTTCACACTTCCCACTGAAGACTCCTTGAAGTGTCTGTAAACTTCATTCGGCAGGCACATAGCCTGCAATAGGCGCAGGAGGAGCAGCGCGACAGGATGTACTGCTGCTGCAGCAGCTCCTGTTGCGCTCTGCTGTGGAGCTACTGTTTCCTCGTTCTCCTCATCCATGAAATCGACGGCAGCAGCAGCGGCTGCATGCTTACCGCCGCCCTTCTTACTATTGAACTCGTCTGCGGCCGCAGCAAATTGCTGCAGCACTCCATCAATCACGGGCTCACGCAGCTGCGGAACGAACTGGAACAGCTGGAACGACAACAGAGCACACAAACAGCAGCGAAGGAGACAAAGCTTCTGGAGTTCAACTAGACCAGCAGTGCCAATCGCTACTAGTGATTGCTAGACTCAAGTACCAGGAAGCTCCTCACCAGTAGCAGCAGACCCTCCGCCGAACGAAGAAGAGAAGCAGCAGCCGCAAAGGAAGGAAGTGCACGAACACCCCAAATGGTACATAACCCGGAAGCAAGGAGATGAAGGTCCTCCATGCTGAAAGCCTGAAGGAGCTGCTGCGAGACTGCAACGCTCCAAAGGTACCGCAGTCCTTCCAGCAGCCGCTGCAGTGCAGCTGCAGCATCACCTGCTGCAGCTGGGGATCCACCTCCGGCTGGCCGTTCGTGAGTGTCGAGTTCTACACCAAGCAGCAGCACAGCACGACAGGAGCTCAAAGCACTAAAAATTGCCGGTGGTTCAGACAGCCGCAGCAGTCCTTACTGCTTCAAGCCTCGGCGGTGAATTTCGCAGGTCAGGAAAGAGAGGGGCATGGCAGCAGCCAGCGGCAAACAACAACGAAACCAGGCAAGTCTCAACAAAACCAGGAATCTTACCGGCTTGTTGGGAGAAGAGTGGCACAAGGGTCTCCCTGCAATGCGTTTTTATGCACACAGCCACAGCTGAGACCAAGGACGCGCAGCTTTCGTGCTCGTGCTGAGCCTTTCCTTCACATTGCAGCCTTGCTTCTTTTTCAGATTCCACCCCCAGTAGGAGCAGTGCCGCCTCCGCATGCAGAGCAACGGCAACACAGCCGCACAACGAACCAAACGTCCTGCTGCTTTTGCTATTGTCGTTGCTGCTGCACGGACACACAAAGACAGCGCTAGTGATGTTGTGTAGTGCACGGAAACCCTCATGGCTACTCTGTGCGTGTCACGGGGTGGCTGTTGTATTTGCGATGCAGCAGTTCGTTTGCTAGGAGGTCGTGCTGCGCCTCGTGAACAAAAGCGCCGTAAGACACACCCTGGCTGCGTAATTCTGTGCATAGGACGTCCACTCCGTTTAGATTTTAGCTCCGGAGTTTTCAGAACTGGGTCAAGGGCCTGCTGCGGTAGCTGCTGCTCCAGTTTCTGCTCTTGGTGATGCGTTTGCTGCTGCTGCTGTTTGTCAGCGTTCCAGCACAGTAGCTGCTCAAGACAAGCAGCACCAGCGGTGCGCACGCTCAGCAAAGCACTGACCAACTCGCAGTGGTCCTCAGCCATCTGCACTAGCACGCTCTGCTGTTGCTGCTCTTGCTCATGCTGCTGCTTTAATCGCTCAAGCAGTGGCTGCGCTGCTGTCAGCGCAGCAACAAGAAGAGCAGAGTTATCAGTTAGCGGAAGAGAAGACGAAGAGGAAGCGCTGTTACACCAGTCCTTCAAGAGTGTCAGCAGCTGCTGCAGTTGCTGCTGATTTTGCTGGTCTCCAACTGAAGCCTTTGCTACTGTTGAGGGGCTCCTGGCTTTTCCCCTTGACCTGCTGCTACAGCGCAGGGCTGCAGCTGCTGCCATAGCTGCTCGGTTTGTTGCTGCGGCTCCACGGGCATCCTGAGAGGGGCATAAAGTTTTAGTTTCCTCTCGTTCTGGAGTGCCTGGTGCCTCTCCTTCTGTAGGTGGCACAGCTCTGGCAGCTGCTGCATCTGCAGCAACAGTTGAGATTGTTCCCTTCGATGCAGCAGGCTGCTCTTTTTGCTGTGCCTTGACGTGATTCGTTCGTTGCCTACGGGCGGCCTGCTGCTGTTGCTTCTTCTGCTGTTGCGGAGGCTTGTTCTCGTCTCCGCTGCTGTCGCTGCAGGAGCAGCTGCTGCTGCTACTGCTGCCTTCGACATTCGTTGCAGTGGTCCTATATATTCTACTGCGGTCAAGGTCTGGCCCTGGAGGCTGCCCGCTCAGCCGGCTGCTACGTCGGCGGTTTTTCTGTGAAAATGCTGGTGCAACTCCAGCTGTTGCTGCTGTACCTGAACTTTCAGGCCGCGGTCCCGCTGTTGCTTCTTCCGTTTCTGTCTCCAAGGCCAAGTCGGGCATGCTTCTATGGTTGTACAAATTTGTGTGCTTCTTCGGCGGCCTGCCGCGATGCCTTTGTATCGGTTGTTGCTGCACCTGCTTGTGCTGCTGCTGCTTCTGTTGTTGCTGATTCTGCTGCTCTACTTGCTGCGTGTTTGAAAATTCTTGCTGTTGTGGCCGCTGCTGCAGATCACCTTCTTTGGTAGGTGCTGCCGCCTGTGGTCGACTTTGTTTGTCCTCTGGCTGCTGCTGCTGCTGCTGCTGCTGCTGCTGCAGCGGTGGCGGCGGCTCATCGCGAAGGGACGGCGGGAGCACGGAAGGCTGTGCCGTAAAATGGTGCTCAGCTGTGACGATTAGGCGCTGCTGCTGGCAGCTGCCCTCGCTGTCTGTTGCACCCTTTTCCAGTAGTTGCGTTGACTGGTGCTCATCGTCTTTATCAGCTGATGTGCCAACATTCTCCTGCTGCGAAAACGGCAAATTTGCAGGCTGCACACAGAACTGTTTCAGCAACAAGCAGCTGTCCTGCGGTTGCTCATGCTGCTGCTGCTGTTGAGGCTGTTGCCGTTGCATCTGAGGCAATTGCTGCTGCTGCTGCTGCTGCTGCAGCTGGCATGTAATTAGCGAAACCAACCGCTGCCGCTCATTTTGCAATTTTCCTAACTGCTGCTGCACTTGTTGCTGTTGACGTTGCTCTTCCTGACTAAGTGAGGACAGCAATTTCGCATATTGATCCGGGTATACGGGATGCTGCTGCTCCTGGTGCTGCTGCTGAGATCCGATGATGCTTTCAAGTAATTTTGGAGGGAGTTCTCCCTGCCGTTGTTGCTGTCGCAGTAGTTGAAGGAGAAGCCCAGGCTGAGTGCTAAGCAGCTGCTGCAGCCGTGGATTCTGTAAGAGAAATAACTGCAGTTGGGGCTGCTGCTGTAGCACCAACACCAATTGTTGCACTTGCTGCAGCAAGTGTTGCTGCTTCTGTATTTGCCGGATCGCCCACAAACGAAAAGCAGGCGCGATTACTTGTTGCACGGCCGCTTCCAGCTGCTGCTTCCTCAAAAGCTGAGGCACAGCATCGGCGGAAGTAGGGAAGAGTGGCAAATCTCCTGTGCCAGCAGAAGCAGCAGGACCTCCTGCAGCAGCAGCTACAGCCATATAGGCTGCATGCTGCTTAGCAATACGTATGGCTTCAGCATCTCCTAAATAACTACGAGGCTCAGTAGCAGGACACCCAGTAGTGCTGTTCACTGCCGGAGCTTCGGCGGCGGGCGCCGCTGCTGCTGCTGCTGCTGCTGCTTTTGTTGCTGGTGCCGCCTCAGACAAAGCGGCCCCCTGCAGGAGCAGTTGCCGCTGCACTAAATGAGCGGCGAGATTCAACTGTTGCTGGCAACTTATTCCTCTCAGCCGCAGTAACAGTTGTTGCTGCTGCAGTAGACGCTGCTCCTGCTGCAGAAGACGTTGCCGCTGCTGCTGTTGTAGCAGGTGTTGAACGCGCTGCTGCTGCTGATACAGTTCACTCCCTACTGACTGGTGAGACTCTTGCGGCCTTTTCAGAGCCTGTGCACCAGAGAGCTGTTGGGCATGCTGCGGGCTTGCACATTTCTGCAGAGTATGCAACAGCTGCGGCTGCTGTTCCTGCGTCATCTGCGCTGGTCCCCACTTTGCCGTTTCTTGCCGCTGTAGCTGGTGGAGCCTCTGCAGTGCCAGATGAGCTACGTCATTATTTGGAACCCTCGTATGCTGCTGAGGCTGCTGTTGTTGATTGGCTACGCTCCGTGTTTCTGCGAGGCCCGCCTGCTGCAGCGAAGTGCGGAGCCGTAATTGTTGGAGAAGAAGCACATTCTGTTGCAGCTGCTGCAGGGAGGGTTGCCCCCGCTCGTTGTTTTGCATGACATCCGACTTAGTCGTCGGCAAGTACTATGGTGCCTGCTAGGAGCCTTGGGAAAATGCTAAGGCCCCTTCGGGCTTGCAGGATGCCCTCAGTTCCCCTCCGCTCAAAACGCCAAAATACTGTCGATATATTTTCACTAAAAAAACGAGACAAAATAAACAGAACAATCTTATGGGCCCAGAGGGACTGCACAGAGGTGCCTCCACAACTGGTAAGGTCACTGCCGAGGGATCAAGTCCGCGGGGCTTCAGGATGCAGGGAAGCAACAGCCAAGGCGGAGTAATACAAACGTGTTATTAACTACGGCATAGCGGATACTATAGAAAATTAAACCGGTCAAAGCATCACTACCGACAGTCCCCCGCCTGCCCTGTACCACCGATCCAACAACCCCCCAAAACACCACCCAGAGCAGAAGATTGTCGTCTTACCTCTCTGCCAGTAGACTTCTCCTCAGACGCTTCTCACTCTTTAATTAAATTCTTGTATTTGGGGAAATACTGACCTTTCTTTCATCTGCTTAATGAAATCATACCGCGCGCCTCGTCCGGAGTTGCGAGGAAAATAAACAGCATGAATAAAACGGTCATAAGCATGCCATGGCTGCTCTACGAAGCTGTGGTACTACATATGAAGGGGAAAAATCTCTGTATACTCCAGAAGCATAAGTTAGTACAAAATACGGGTTTGACGGGCTGAAGCCGTAGCACTAAGCACCGCCTATCTTTTCTAAGAAGTGCCATGTGCAAGCGGAAGTCGAAGGGAGTGGTCGTGTATGTGAATGCGTTGGAAAAGTGCCCAAGCCTTGGGGTAATTAGCCATGATGCTTAGCTTATTATCCCCCGTACCACCACCACAGTTAAGGAAGCACCGGCACTCCCCGTACAATAAAGTGCGACCGTACGGCGAAGCGCTTGGGTACAGTTACGCTTTCAGGACTAGAAAAAGTCTCGTTCCCTGTTTTCACAAGTAGACAGGTACTGTGCTCCTTTCTCCATCCTGAAGATGGTCCTCAGAAAAGTAGCGCATTCCACCGCGTCATTAGCTGCCGACGGCATGGAGCAGTGAATCGCTAGAGGCTTCAATAATATACGTCCCCACTCGCTGCGCGTTTTCTTCCTGCATTGGAAGCCCAGACGGCGCTCCTGTTTCAGGCCTTCAGGAGGTAGCTTTACCGTGGTAATGCCATGCTGCAAGGCAGCAGTGACAGAAATGGAAGCTGTACACCTGCCCAACTACGCCAATTGGCAGGAGGACGAGCTGCAGACACCTCTAATACTCAGAGTTTCCAATTTTCTCTTGATCAAGTAATCCTCTGCTCCTGACAGGAAAGTGAAGCGAATCGGCTGCGTCTCGTATATGCTTCAAGGGGCTAAAACGTTTGTCATAATCTTGTATGTGTAAATGCTCGAGGTCTTACACGACCTAGATATGTGCGACCAGCTGTCGGCTATATTTTATCTCCTGCCACATATGTATTACACTCGGTAATAGAGAGCGGAGGGCTCCATTGTGAACAACCACTAATGTTAAAGGCTAGCGCGTTTTGCGACTGAAAACAGCAGAGCGCTCAAAGCATGCGAATCAATGGGTTTATATACTGTGTAGAGTTGTTTTAATATGGAAGAACAAGCTGCCGCCACCCTAGTTTCAATCTGAAAGTGCTTGCCTGCTCACCTGGAGATGGTGGTGGTCATTCCAGCATACACGGCCGCTGGTGCGCGTACGGACCGCGTAAAGCAAAGTTCACGCTGAACTTTTGCTCTTGATTTCTCGTTTCCAAAATATTGACTTTGTGCTACTACTTTGCGGTAGTGAGGCTTTTTTGTGGAACATAACTTTTCACAAGTACACAGCCAGAATGTACCACGGCACAGTCGAAGCACATGACGGGATGCCTGCATTTCCGCGGACTCCGTACCCTTCCACCAAAGTCTGCCAGCTCGTGCAACATATTGCTGCAGTGCACCCTACTTAACTATTTCTACGATGAATGAAGCAGCAGGCTGCAAACGAAATTGACAATACGGTGCACTTCGACGAGCAACACGGATGGCATCGTGTGTTTTGAATGCGGGAGGCAAGTGACGTTTGATGGGAGACTGTCCCTTGCGGACTTTGAAGGCTCCGTAATCAGGCGAAGCCTGCAAGAAGTGCAGGGGTAAACGTCACTACATACACTACGGCTTGTTCGGCTTCACCCAGACCAAGGCAGGAGTGCTACGAAGGGGTCTGTTACAATTACAGGCCCCAAGAGAGGGAAGACAAGTACCAACAATTCAACGGCAAAAGCTGAAAGCTGCAGGATACGAATATCCCAGGCGTCAGCGATAACGCTGCCGTGTTCTGTTGCCAGAAGACCAAATGCCATCGACGCCTAGTCCATAAGAGCGCGAAAGCTGTTTCAGCAAGGCAAAACGATAACATAGATTGAACCTACAGCAGCGCCCAAGGCATGTGTTGAAAAGGTGGAGCAGAGCTCACTGGAGATGAAGGTACCTTCCGTAATTTTTAGCGCTCAGTCTAAGGAAGAGGACAAGGTGGACTAGCCACATGAGAATTCCCACTGATATGTCCTGAAAGTAATACCGCAGTGGTGACGCAAGTAACTGCATACCGAGTTGTCAGCGAAAAGCCGGACACTATTGTACAGCGCGAGGAAGACAGTTATTCCTATCTTCGAGATACTTGGGCTTGATTTCGACGCGCTTCTGGGCAAAGATGCAGTACGTAGCCCGATCACAGTTTAGCGGCTGGGGCTGTGAGCGCGCCGCCAGCATCAGTACTGCTGTTTCACGGTTGCCCTTGAAGAGCAGCTGCATCTCAGCTGCATGGTGACCCGGTTGTTTTATCGCGGAGTCACAAAACCTTACAGTCAAATTATTGTCAGGTAAAGACATTCACGTGATGGATGTGCTGTCTTGATAAATCCAGTACCCGACGCTGCCTCCTCGCAGTGGCTTGTTTGAGACTGTAGACATTCTGGAAGAGCGCTCATTTCGCTAGCGCTCGCAATCAAGATGGCGAAGCCGTCAGAGTTAATTTCCAAGTTCCCCTGAATTTTTCATTTTGAATCGCCGTACATGCGAATTTGCATCACGTTATGTGGCGAATCTGTGTACCAGCTAGTTTTGAGTTTCTTTGTCGCGTGCTCTGCAACCACCACGATCACATGACAGCAGACCATCACTGACCATAAAGAGGCCTACCTAGCCCTCAACAGACAACACTATTGTCCGGGCAAGCTTGCTCGTACAGAAGCATGTGTGAAGCTCTGCATTCAGTCTCATGCGTCTTCATAACTCACTTGGAAATCGAGGATTCCTTCAGCAGCTGGTCATTCCATCTCGCCATTGAATTCAAGTCAGTACAAACCTAAAAGCTGACGTGTCACTCTCTGTCTCCTATAATGACATCATTTTGGCGCCTGGTGATTCTCTAGGTAAAAGGGTATACTTCATTTGCAGGAAGACGCTGTCGACGGCACCTGCCACTTTTTGTCGGCCGTTTTATTCGCAATCACAGTTTCCCTAAAACGTTCATTTTCTGTGGACGCTGTCATTTTCAGTTCTACGTGTAGCAGCAGTTCTGTGATCGGCTTAGCATTTATCAATCTTTTCCGCCCATCATCCTTGGGAGATGAGTACACAAACACCCAAATCAACGACACACAATTTCGCTGATATGAACACAAATTATGTACGTAACATTCTTAAGAAAGCCGCATGCCAGGATCTGCCAGTGCTTATGTACGTTACTGTAGTGGCTGATGAAGTTTATCTTTGGTATTTATCACAGTAAACGAGTAGGCCTCTCCGTTGCGCAAAAAGTATCGTGCGGAGAAAGGGAACCGACACTGACTTCATGAAAAGGCTTGCTTAAGGATCTCCAGTGTGTTTGCTTTTGGGACAACGACTAGCCAGCCAGCGCATCCAAAAAGTGTATACGCAAGGCAGTGCCGGTATTACAACTTCAGCATCTTTTTTGGGAGGCTGAAACTGTTTATTGTGGGATTAGGGTTGCGACTGTAAGCCCCGCTTCCTGTTTAGCACTCGCAGCCCTGTCTTCATGTTTCGTACTCGCAGCCCACAGCTTCGGGGGAAAAGACTTCACGCTGCTTCTAAGTTAATTATTGGACGAACCTAATGCTTAAGAGCGCCGTATAACATATAAATGTTCCTGTCTAGCGCTGCCTCGTTGAGGTCACAACTCTGTGACCTGTCCCTTTGTGAACATACATACATGGCACTAGTCAGCCTCTTTCCCTACCAAAAACCGTTCTAGCTCCCCGGATGCCCCATTTGTGTTAATCGTGATCTTGTAGAGAGATTTTTGGAGCTTTTATATTCAGCTTACCAGCGCAGTAACCCTCTCGCTGCCTGCCACTGTGCCAACGATAACCCGTAGCAACAACTGGTGACCAGCTTTGCCCACGCCTCTACAGCTCCAATCAAGCATATCAAATATAAGACATACTGAGAAGCAAAATACCCAACATTTCCTTTCCTAGACGTCAAGCATGTTCTCCCAACTTCCACGCCAGACCTCTCGTACTTTCATTCACCTCAGAGGCATCCCATACACATGGCTTTTGAAGACAAAAAGCTACGCTAAGCACGCTTGCAATATATTCTTATACAAATTTTAGCCTTGGCCCGAAGCGCATTCATCGCTTGGACGTGCCCACTGTAGACGAAGGCACCCTGAACAAAAAGCCCAGTGTGACTAGCTGCAGCTGCAGCAGCCAGAGGCCCCTGTATGCCTATATGCCATATTCCTCAGTGCTCGCGTAGTCTCACTGCGAGCGAACCACTAGCCCATTACGACGCAGCTTTAACGGGAAGCGTAAAGCTGCATTGCATGCAGCGTCCGAGGCCCATGGGCAAAACTGCAACACAAGCACGAGCAGCCGCAATAGTAGAGCCTATCAGGATAGCCATTGGGCGTGACACATTAATTTTGAAGGCAGAAAACTGTGCAAGCGTCAAAAATACCCGGC